CATTAAATAATTTTAATTCAAAACTGACAATTCACAACCATTAATAATTGTAGTTAAAGAGAGTCTTCTAAATGCTACTTGAGTTTTTATTTTCTATATTTTTTCAAGGAAGTAATTTAAAATTTACCAACCTTTAACTTTATAATTCTCACAGAATACATAAAAATGTAGGGAATTGCAAATGATTCTTTTAATCAGAATCTCATCAAACATTTTACAGGGTGTATTAAGCTGTTTCATAACGTAATTGATTCCCAGATTTCTTTTATATATCTTTTCTTGTAAGAATATTGGGCCCTAAACCTGTGTTCCAAAAGACACTTTTATGTCATAAAATAATACCAAAGAGAAGAATTAGCTGTATGAAATATATTTCTATATTTTGTAACAGATGTAAGTTTCATAGTCCCATGTGCAAACATGGATTTCTGTAGTAATCAAATGATGACATTTGTTTATGACTTTTTTTTTTTTTTTTTGCGGTATGCGGGCCTCTCACTGTTGTGGCCTCTCCCGTCGCGGAGCACAGGCTCCGGACGCGCAGGCTCAGCGGCCATGGCTCATGGGCCCAGCCGCTCCGCGGCATGTGGGATCTTCCCGGACCGGGGCACGAACCCGTGTCCCCTGCATCGGCAGGCGGACTCTCAACCACTGCGCCACCAGGGAAGCCCTGTTTGTGACTTTTGTTACTATTTGTTTTCACTCTGAACCTACTTTTTCACTGGCAGAAAAACTGAATCTAAAGACTTTAAAAATATAATCAGCTCAACCCAGTGATTTTTTTCAGAAGTCAAGGTTTACTTCATAATCTAGTTTACAAATACCATCTGGCTCTTCTACCTCCTTACCTTTTGTGGCCCTGAGAGGCCACAGATAATATGCAGAGGGAGAGGGCCTTACATATGTGATGAACAGGAGTTAATAAGAAAGGAGCCACTGTATCAGTCTCTGATTGATATCTGTTGTTGGCATGGTGATTTAATCTTTATTCTTTAGATAAGGGACATAATGTTGACTCAGGGTGACAAGTTAGATGGGGGTAGTCACCCATCTGGACCCAGTGTAGTTTCCTGGTAAGAGTAATTTTTCTTACCGTCTCATTCCTGGCTTTTGTAAAGTATATTGTGGCCAGAACACAAGGTTGTCTACATACGGCCTGGGAGATCTCTTGGCAAGGCCAACTACTTTCCCCTTTACTCACCTTCTGAGCCTTCTACTTGGATACGCGGGAAACTTACGGTCCCCTTCTCTGTCTAATTGTGACCACCGCCCCCCAAAATAGGAGATTTGGGGGGTAAGAGAGTAAGTATCCAAATACTCTTCTTGCTTTTTCTCACTCCCTATTTCCTTGCCTTTCCCCTGAATTCCTACTCTTCCCCTCCTTTATGGGAGACGGTGAAGTACATGCGGCAAAATACTATAGTGCGTTTCGCTGTTTGTTCTTTTTTTTTTTTTTTTTGCGGTCCGCGGGCCTCTCACTGTTGTGGCCTCTCCCGTTGCGGAGCACAGGCTCCGGACGCGCAGGCTCAGCAGCCATGGCTCACTGGCCCAGCCGCTCCGCGGCACGTGGGATCTTCCCGGACCGGGCCACAAACCCGCGTCCTCTGCATCGGCAGGCGGACTCTCAACCACTGCGCCACCAGGGAAGCCCCTCACTGTTTGTTCTTAAAACTATCCTCTGTTCAGCTGGGTCTGGTGAAGTTCACGTCTATCAGTTTGGGAGTTAGAACTGGAAGGATGTAAAACCTGTCATTGCAAATATTCTCCATATTCTTCCCTTTTCTTTTTTTTTTTTTTTTTTATATTCTCCCCTTTTCAAATCTCATTCCTTACTTTAAATCATCGCTTTTAAGCATAATAATCAAGAAGCATGTTTTATTGCTTTCTTAGTATTTGATGTAAGAATTGTTGTGGTCATCTGCCACAGAGCAATGTACCACATGTCATTCTGGTACATCCGGCGCTCACAAAGATAGCAGCATGATCCTGTGATTCAGATATTTTATTTTAGAGCCCTTGATTCTGAGCTCAACCACTTACCAGCTGCATTGCCTTGGGGGACTGTCAGCTTCGCTAAGCCTCATTTTAACCAGCTTTGAAATGTGGTTAATAATAGCAATAATAGCAATAGATTCATAATATTGTTGAAACTGGAAAATAGAGTAATCAATCCATGGAATTTTGTAAGTGATACATAGAGAATTTACTATCTCAGAAAAGAAAGAGTGAACAAAGAAAAGAAATATGGGTATTCAGGAAAAGTATATTTTATCAGCTTCTTTAAATAGTTTGATCCCAATAGTCTTTGGAACCTGAGTCCTGTAATCAATCTCTAACAATCCAGTGGTTGAGGTTCTAGGGTGTTTACTAGAATCCCCTAAGCAACTGGCAGGATATTGCTAATTTCCTGAGTTTTCAAATGCTGACTAATGATTCAATCATTTTTGCATTAAGATTTATTAAGTACTCCCAGGATGCTTCTTGCAGAGGGGGGAGTATGCAATACAGCTTACACCATAAAGTAGACATTGGACAGCTCCTCATGAATTTTCTCTGTAGAGAGTAAAACAAGGATATACGGGGAAGAGTCAGTGGGTAGAACTGACATCCTCTTTTCC